GAAGGCATGGGGGTTCATAGAGAAGTGCTTTAGTTGAGAGGTAAGTGTAGAGAGTAGACTGAAAAAGGTAAAGCAAAGATGGATGTTTAGGAAGTAGGGATATTTCCATTTATTAACAAATTCCTGTTAGGTGAATGATGTGAAACTTGCGTTTGGATTTTTGGGGTCTTTGCCTGGAATACTGAGTCAGTTTAGAGTAATGGGTAGGATAGTAGGATTAGTTGAAGGTCAGAAGGTCAAATTTAGGATTAAATACTGACTCCTCTCTTTATATAGTTGCGTGACCTTAGGAGAAGTTACCCGATCTCTCAAAGCTTCGGGTTTTCATCTGTAAAAAGTATAAGATGATAGTACATCATGCAAGCGAAGCACTTAGCACACTGCCTGGCACATAGTAATTTTTAAGCGAGATATAGTTATTATCTATCCTAATAATAGGATAGGTATGTGGGATTAATCCCAGAAAATGAAGCATTTCTTTAATAAGGCTTTTTTTTTAACCATCTCCCTCCTCACCTGGGGGGGATACAACTCAAATTAGTTGATTTTCAAGGAAGTAGTAATAGCTAAATTACTTAACCTTTCTAATTTTATCCTCAACTAAAACCAGAAATAATCGTACCAATACCAGCGGGTTTCAGTGAGAATCAAACTAGAGAATGGAAGTAAAAATGCTTTGTCAATTATGAAAAATGAAAAATTTAGTTATCCTCATTATTAATTAATATAACTGATCTATTGATTTTAAAGAGTACAATGTTAGGTTTATATCTTCAGTTTGACTTTTGTCTACTGGTAACTCATAATGTGAATAATACAGATCTTTCATCTGAAGAAAGCTTTTTAAAAGTGCTTTTATATTATCTTACAAGATTCTCACAAAAGCTCTGTGAGGAACAAAAGACAATGGCGATTAGGGGCCATCCAGATTGACTTTTCAGAGTGCGCGGTGTCTTCTCGAAAACCATGACCATCTTTATCAATGCTCTGAGGCCCAAAGCAAGAAATGTTTTAGACACAAGAAGAACCTGACACAATTATGAATATAGCTCTTCATTTTAAGGAGACATTGTCAATTAAAAAATCTCAAACTATCATATCTCAGGGCTCTATATGGTTGGCACTCTATAAAAATATATTGGCTTTAACATTCCAGCTAAAGAAATAACAATACTTATAAGGAAATTCTCATTATCCCAAAGTACAAAGACAACTATTATGTCCTTACTTTCAGTAAGGAGAGTAAATAACACTTTTCTAATATAAGGAAGAAATTTTAAAGGCTTTCAGAGTGGAATGAATCAAGTTAATTCCATTAAGGAAGCATATGCTTCATAATATATACATGTGCATAGAGCCCTTGGATGGCAATGACTGCGGGGAGATTTAAATATCCTATGAAGTGGATGGCAAACAACAGTGAGTCAGGTAGTCTAGCAAGAGCTGGAGTCTCTCTATATAACAACTGATTGACAGCCACAGAGAAAAACATATTTTGTGAAGGTTTTCACTCCCTGTCTCTATTTAGTAGCATTCACTGCTCTGGGTGAACAGACATATCATTTCCACTGGGAAAGCTGTTGCTCTGGCTAGGCACTTGGAGTTCCTCATTTATTTATCTATTTATTTTAAATCCTCAAACAAGGATTTTTTTTTTTAATTGATCTTAGAGAGGAAGGAAGAGAGAGAGAAACATTGATCGGTTTCCTCCCATACATGCCCCGAGAGGGGATCAAACCTGCAACCTTCTGGTGCACAGAGCGATGCTACAACTAATTGAGCCACCCGGCCAGGGCTGGAGTTTCCTTTTTGAGTATCTAAGAACTATTCTTGCTATCCAGTGGTCCCCCTTTATCCACAAGGATAGCATCAAACTCTCTCTCTCTCTCTCTATATATATATATATACCATATTTTTTCTTATATATACATCCCTGTGATAAAGTTTAATTTATGAATTAGGCCCAGTAAGAGATTAACAACAATAACTAATAATAAAATAGAACAATTACAGCAATATACGCTAATAAAAGTTATGTGAGTGTGGTCTCTCCCAAAATACCCTGTACTGTATTCAGGTTTTCACTTAAAGGAAGCACTTCACAGCTTCTCTCTGGCATATCAGAATCGCAGGCATGACTACTCTTGCACTTTGGGGCATCATTAACTATAAGGGGACTTGAACACAAGCTCTGCGATGCTGTGACAGTCTGTCCGATAGCTTAGGCGGCTGCTAAGTGACAATAACGGGGCGTGTCTACAGCAGGGCGGTGCTGGACAAAGGGACGATTCATGTCCCGGGCGGGATGGAGTGAGATTTCATCACGCAACTCAGAGGGCACACAATTTAAAACTTACGATTTGCTTATTTCTGGAATTTTCCATTTAATATTTTTGGACCATGGCTGACCACAGGTACCTGAAACCGTGGATAAAGGGGGACTACGGGGCAGCATGAATCAAAGAACAAATATGATGCTACCAACTTCTTCATGTGAAGCGAGAAGGCAAACCGCTGCATATCTTTCCTTCCCACATATTAGAGAAAATCCCTTTTGTTCAAAATTAAAAAATCATCTCCAGGTGGAAAAAGCAAATGCTTCCATTTAGCTGAAATTGCATGTAATCTCCTACAATATGTGGTTTTATTTACTTTCAAAATTGGCGCTTCCATTTGTTGCTTGTAAACCCCAGGATCTTGATTCAATTCTATCAGTTGAAATGTGCCATTAACAATAACCGAGAGTTTCAGTACTTTTGGAGTTTTTACCATACCTCTAAAGATTTCATCAAAAGACCATTATTGAGCCATCTAACTGAAAATCCGGGCTGGCTGTAAATGTCACTCTTATTTCTAAAATGTAGTTTCAACCTCAGGCAACTGGAATTGATAGAAAACACAATATTAACTAAGAGGGAATGAGAAAATTGCCATGTTTTAAAATGATGTTGAAATCTTAGTCCTACTGAAGTGAGGGAAAAAGACTATGTTTAAGATTTTCAGGGACTCAGGTAGTTTTATAAGGTTTTTAAGAATAAATACATTTTTTTAAATCTTCACCCAAGGATATTTTCTCCATTGCTTTTCAGAGAGAATGGAAGGGGGGGGGAGGGAAACATCGACGTGAGAGAGACACATCGATTGGTTGCCTCCCGCACACACCCCAGCAGGGGCCAGGGATGGAGCGTTGGCTGGAATCGAACCTGGAACTCCTCAGTCTGCGGGCCAACACTCTAACCACTGAGCCAAACCGGCTAGGGCAAGAATAAATACATTTTTTTATACAGCATAAGCTAAGAAAGTTTCCTCAGCATAATTTCCAACTGTGTTTAATATAGAAATCAGAAATCTAAACACAAAATGTACTTTATTCTGCATTCTTCCAATATAAGTAGGAAACATGGCAATTTTTTTCTTTAATGATTCAGAATCTTGCAGTTTCTCAAGATTTGGAGTTATAAATGAATTTTCATTGTCTAGTACTGCAGGTGTAAATATAAAAAGTATAGGAGATAGATGGATGTATCTTTGCCCTCAACCAGACTTAATCACTGCTTTAAGGGGTATTTTAATAAATTCCTATTATAAAATTATTTTGAGCCACCAGATTATTTTTTATTTTTAAAGTAATCTGCTAAAAAGTTCTACTTAAAGTTTTACTTTTTACCATAGCTGATGAGAATATGTGAATCTATATAGTATTTATTAAAATTCTAGGGTGACCTTCTGGGTATTCACAAGGAGGACATTTTATTTATGAAATGTCCTAAGTCCAAAAAATCACAGCATCACATTTTCTAACCATTTATCTAAGAGGGACCAAAAAAGTCTAACTTTGCATCCCTTTTGCATTCTCAAGCCAGGGGGTATGTCCGCAAAGATAAAGTCAGGTATTGTTCTAAACAAACTGCCTCCAAATGATCAAACCAACTCAACACACACTTTGGAGGGGCAAGTGGGGTCCCATGAGAAGGACAGGGCAGGAATGAAGAATTTAAGAAGCTATAAATTGCCACTGTCATCTACTCTATACACCAGAGCAGCAAAGTAGATCAAATACCATCTCAAAACAGAAAACAGAACAGAAAGGGGGAGGAGAAGAGCCTTTGCTTATGATGATTTGATTTGGGAATTATTTTTCAGCCTAGGGTACACGAGCACTTTTCTTCATGATTTAAAACTATGAAACAAAGAAGCAAATGAAGCTGGTCTAAAAATTGATCATATTATTCCAACACTCCAAATTTTATTTGTGATGACAGTAAAGTTTTTATATCAAGCCAGAAAACTCAACTATACATAACAAAACTCCATAATAGTTCAGGAAAATTATATCAGGTACTGAGAATAAACTTGAACTGTAAAATATGATTCTCACTAAGACTTCATTAAACACGACTCCCCTCGGCTTCTGTGTTCACTGTTTCTGATATGAAATTTTATGGCAATAATTTTTGTTTCTAGGAAAAACAATTGTCTGAAAATTGTGTTATCATTAACTATGACAAATTTAGCCATCTCATTTTTTATTTTCACAGATCATGCTAGGAAGAAAGCTACAAAATGCCAGATTAGCATTTCAAAACGTATTTGAAAGTAATGAAGGGAAACTGATTTAGTTAGCAACGCTAAATAAAATAGACAATTCATACAGATGCTTTCCCTGTAAAATATTAAATAAACATTCAAAAATGGCAACTTTTTCAATTTAATAAACCAATTCCTAATTTCTTTATCTGAGCAAAGTTTCTTGTCCAAAGCTCTGGTTTTACGTGCAAATTTTTCCTGGTTAAAAACACGTACTAGTTAGAAGATCGGGGTGTGAAATGAAATAATAAATGACTTTTTCTTCTTCCTCTGCCTCTTTCCTTCTTGCCCAAATGCTTAAATATATCAGGCCATATAAATAGTTTGCCCCCGGCCTATCATATACAAGGACATATGCTGAGAATTGTTCAACCGGTTCCACAAGAGCGCTCAAATAGAAATGCCTGACTTACCTGCCATTGTTTCATCAGCTCCCTTACTCCTTTGGAATCTTCTAGGAGCCTTTCTTTATGGGTGGCATCCTGCAGGACATTGGCAGTGGTTTCAGCTTCTGTGAGCCAGGCAAGAAACTTCTCCAGGTCCAGGGGGAACTGCTGCAGTAATCGGTAAGTTTCTTCCAAAGCGGCCTCGCGCTCGTTCACTCTGCAAAGGGACAAATGTTCAGATGCAATTCTCAAATATCTGAGTGGTGCACCCAGAGAGCCCCATGAAAAGAGCAAGGGTAAAGGGACTAAACTGTATCTATGAACCGAGGGGTGAGTTGTTGGTAAAAGTAACAAAAACTGCCCTTGCCAGTGCGGCCTGCGCACCGGTCCCGGGGCTGATTCCCCGCCCGGTCAGGGCGCATGTAGTGAGAGCGCATTCGGGAGGCAACCAATCGATGTTTCTCTCTCTCTCCCTACCCCCTTCTTCCACTCTCTCTAAAAATCAATGGAAAAAATATCCTTGGGCGGGGGTTAACTAAAACAACAAAAAGCAGCAACAACGAGAGAAGCCTTGGAGTTTTGAAAAGTTCACATATGAGTTTAGAGTATTGAAAGTTCATATATGAACTCTCAAAAATTTTTCTTTAACTTTTTAAGTTTTCTTAATCAATTTTGAAAGTTTATTTTATTCTTCTTGAAAGCTTATTGTAATGTGCTGCAAATGCTTAAGCTAATCTTTATATGTAAAAACCCTAAAACCCTACACCATGCTTATCTTTGATGTCACCTGAGGCAGGACACTAGGATTGGATAGGCAAGGAGAAAAGTTAAGAAAATGTAAAACTGGAGTAGAAAGTTGAACGCTGGAGGAAAAAAAGAGAAGGGGATTGGAGGGCAAAGCAGAGCAAAAAAACTAACAAGTAAAAAAATACCTTTCGTAGAAACCTTTGTGAAGAATATTATTTTGTAGAACATTCGCTATAGTGTTCTAATAGTTTTATCTATTGCATTAGCTTTATATTTCATTACCTGCCTGCCATGTAACTGAGGCTATTTTCCAAAAGAAAATTTTATGTGTGTGTCATGGAAAAGTTAGAGCTGAAAAACCAGACAGATCTGGGTTTGAATCCCAATGTCCCCTACCAACTGTGTGATAGGGCAAGTTACAACCTCTCTGATTTTTTAGTTTCTCTTCTGCAATACGTACTGCTGTGACAAGAATGAAAATACAATGTCTGTAAAGCCTCACACATTATATAGTTAACACGTTACAGTTACTCAAAAATGTTGGTTCCCTCTGCCCGCACCCCATTCTCTCACTTCCTCTGGTCTTTTAGGAGTGAACCAAGTTCCCTAATGACACAAACAATCTTAAAAATATTATTCACATTTCCTGACAACATATATAATGCATGTATGGGGATACACACACACACACACACACCCTCAACAAATATCTACATAATAATAGCTTGGGAGGGAAAATTGCCTTAGGCGGTAACAATCCCATCTAAAAAGATTCAGGTAACTTTTTCTGCAGTGAGGAAATTAGTACCCGATTTCAGGGCTGTATTTGCCTTCGATTACTACACAAACACTTTCTGGGATTAAACATAAGCTGAAAATGGATTTTAAAAAATTGAACACTTGAATATGATACACGCTGCTTGTTAAGATGCGATTGTCAATAATTATGCAAAATTGCAATTTATTTCAGCAGCAACTTTACCATGGGATGTGCAAACCAGGCAATAAACAGCTCCTGCCGAGCCAGCGGCAGCAAAGCCCCCAGAAGGGCTGCTGATTCATCACGGGGGAGGTTTTTGCTGAGCATACAGTCTTCCAGTGTCGTTTCGGCGCTCCTGCTAGAGAAAAATCTTCTGTCTGCATTAACTGGCGGAGGGGAGAATAGGTTTATGAGGATGCAGCTATTGGAAAAAAAGGAAGCATCGCACTAAGCTATTTATAAACTCCTAAATAAACTTTAATAGTGCGCAGCGGAAAGGTGGCCTGGTGTCCCGCTTAGGGAAATCACTTAAATCTCACGCAGTTTAAGGGCTACCCTGGGCTGCTGGCTCCCTGCTTATCCAGTTTTCAGGCACACTATCAATGGAGAGAGAAAGAGCCAAATTGTTGTTTATTTATCTTTTACTTTAAAAATTCAGAACAAAAAAAAAAAATAAAAAATTCAGAACCATTGCGACAGCACCGAGAATCCTGTTACAATCGTACAGGTTGGGCACATGTAACTGCTGACATCCGCTGATATTTCTAGGCTGGCCTGCGCATTAGAAATCATTCAGACTCACTCCACCTCCAGCCCCAAATCTGGGATAGAAATTAGCTGTCACATTCCCGAAGACAAATACAGGGTGAGACACTGACATATTTTCGAACATACTCCAATTTCATACAAAATCAAAGGACAGCCTGAAAGTCTCTCCTGGCAGAGTGACGCTTAGAGAATTAGACACCGTGCATTTTTTATCTGCTCCTTCTCATGATGAGCTGTACGTGATGCATCTTAGCTCCCCTGTCCTTAAACTTGAAACACCACTTACCCTCTGCTTCCAGAGAACGTAAGCAGTAAATAACTTTGAGCCATTTGTAAAACGCAATGCACATAAATCAGATGAAAGGGTTCTACTGAGACAATGAGATTTCCAGCCAAATCCTACCAGCGAGTTCGCTGCTTTGTAAATTAGGCCCTTAGGGGATAACAGTAACTCTTTCAGGACAGTAAGGCACCATTTTCCTAAACTATACCCTCGTGGTCTGAAATACTGACAGCATCAGGCTGAATATTTTCTAGTTTGGAAAATACGTTAAAAAATTCAATGGCAGCAACAGCAGAAAATCTCTTCAAACGAGCCCCTTTACAGGCCTCTTCGATCACAGGGAGATTGTTGTTTCCTGCTTGTGTGGGAGTTTGCAGGCTCCATCCTTTCTCCTGAAGTCAGTCTATGTATACTGAATTCCTAAATTTTAATTGTGCCAAGTCCAGACTAGAAATGAGTCAAGGGTACTCGTATGCCATATTTGTGCATTCAAAATAGTTGTGAATGTACCTTGTACTTTTAAGTTTTCTGTAACCATATGGCTTATATGATAAATAAGAATGTAGAAATGATGAGAATCGTGAAGAAATTTAAAAAATGGCTTAGAACAAAATTAAAGGTCTAAAAATGGATTCTTTTGTAAATTCCTCTGTCTAGATTATCAAATTATAGGCCCTGGAGAAAATTGGGCTGAATGTTCAAAGTACCAATGACTAGATATCAGAAGTAGTAGTGATGCTTTACAAATATAATCTACTGTATTGGTTAAGTACTGCTTATATAACAAATTTTAGTTCTCAGTTATTCCAGCTTTATAATGTACAAAATGAGCTAAGAATTTAATGGAGTATGGAAGGGTATGGCGACTTCAAAGGTTTTCTCTCCATTCATAAGGGTGCCATAAACCACTCTCAGTATGTAAATAGGGGCCGCGTGGTACAGTGGTTCCCAAAGTATGGCCCACAGACCAGCAACATGAGCATCACCTGAGGACTTATTAGAAATGGAAATTCTCAAGCTCCACCCTAGACCTACGAAATCAGAAACTCTGAGTGCGGAGTCCAGCAAGGCTTGTTTCAACAAACCTCCCAGGTAATTCCAATACATGCTGCAGTTTGAGAATCACTGCCACTGGACACCAAGCTTGAACTGCTGGCGCACTGGACGCTGGGCTGGGCTGCCCGGCCCCTCTTCAGGACTGAAATATGTTTTGCATTCATTCCGGTCGGGGCACATGCCCGGGTTGTGGGCTCAATCCCCAGTCGGGGGCGTGCAGGAGGCGGCCGATCAATGACTCTCTCATCATTGATGTTTCTCTCTCTCTCTCTCTCCCTTCCTCTCTCTGAACTCTATAAAGAAATAATAATAAAAAAAGGAAACAACAGCAACAAAATATATACTTGCTTAAGCTGTGTATGTGGATAAATATACAACTACTGTTTCAAAAGGGGACAGGATGGAGGATTCTCACACTCAGTATGGAGTCGGAAGAGCTACTGCAGCCCTGGTTGCTCTTTAAGGAGATCTACAGATAATGCAGAATTGCACTGTTGCCAGTTAGAAGAAAGAATCTACTGGAGGGGCAAAGTGCTCGAGCTATAAAGGTACAACCCTGCACCTACCCAAGAAGGTGCCCATCCAGAGACAACTCTATGTAAAGGGAGAGACTCACAGAAGGCATGTCTTCAGCATCTCCACCTTCCTTTTAAGAACTGATTACCAATGAGGCGATCAGTAAGTAATACTTGGATCTGACACTAAACATTCACATCCGTGTGCGTGCACACACACATATCACAGGATCTCTAAATAAATCTCTAAGACTTGAAATTTTCTTTTAAGTTCACTACTACCAATTTCTTAAGATCAGCCTAATACATAAAAAGCAAAGGAGTAAAGGAAAATTAGTACTTTCCAAGGTAAAGCTGAAAAGTTTAATTAATGTATAGACAATATTCCATTATTAGATACATGGATGGACAATACGTTATCAATGTACTGTATTGCAGGATGATTATGTTATATATTACATATATATAATCAAACAGAAATAAGCACATTGAATATTTTTAGGAGAAAAAAAGGCTGAATGTGATATAGAAGGCTATTTTACCCAGGTGTTTCTGTGTGACAACTTGGGGAAACTGACATCACTGTCTCCTAAATAACACTTCCTTCTGGGCCCTGGTATTGTCATGGAGTAACCAAACAAAACAATCTGAATCTTTCTTTCCTGGTTTATTTGCATTTTAACCACTATCATTTCTTATGATATTTTTAGGGGATGGATTACAGCATGACCATTCCTCCCCCTTTATGGTTTGTTAGGTACAGACCAGAGAAAATGAGCACTTTTACAGCACCTGCACTTAGGAACAAAACGTTTCCAGCAATGTCAAACAGCACTCATAGAACCAGAGTTAACCTGAAGTTCAAACTCTGTTCTGTAACAGTCTGTACTGGTTTGATAGTAAATAAATTCCGCTTTGATTTTCTGGCAAATAACTTTGTATTGTATTTGAAAGGGGTAGCTAAAATTTTATTACCTATGGCTATATAGAAGTTTGTAGAAAGGATCTAGCAAATCTAGTAGTAATCTGCACTAATTAGAAGCAAGAACCTAAGCAAAATCCTTCCCTAATGCTTGGACAGCATCCCA